CGAGTACTTCCACAACAGAATGAACGAGCCGAACCAGCAGATGAATAATCAATTCTAGGAAAAGATCCGAAGTCCCGGGAACCGCAACCGAATCTGCCGAAACCCCTAGCTGAAGCATAACCCAAGCCCAGAACCAAACTCGAAATCAATCCGTCCCCAGCCAAGGAAACCGAACTCACCTCACCCAGCTAACCATTAGCCGAGACCAGAACAGCCCCACCTTGCTAACACCACTAGCCGAGTACAACCGCACTAACTCCCCCGAGCCCCACAGAGAACCGAGGAGAAGTGCGGCACCTCCGCTCCGACCACCCCGACACAACGCGCCACGAGCCGTCAGAGTCTCATCCCATCCCCTAGACCCCACACCACCCAACGTCGCGGCAAGATAGAAGCCCGCAACCGGAAACGGGACCGCACCGGCAGAGAAGGAGAGGTCCGTCCGAATCACAACACCTCCATCTCAGGACCTCGAGAGGCGCACATTTTTAGTAGAAACGAATTGTTTGTTACAAAAATCGTTAGTGATAGCAACTGAACGAATCCGTCTCTGCGCATCATAACCCTTGTTTTCACTAACTAATAATGCAACAGAATATAATTGTTTTTATTGTTTATTAAAAACAAAAACATGCCCTGCTGCAACACAATTTTCCGTTACTAAAGCCTCACTTTCTAGTAGTGATGAAGCGACGATTTGGAGGGGGAGGGTTTTTCGATTTCGCGAATCAATGTAAAAAACTAAAAATTACTTTCTATAATATAATAATATAATATATGTTAAATGAAAAGAAAAAAACAAATTTACGAGTTCATGATTTCTTTTTTCCTATCTTTAAATCATACAAGTTATAATCATTTTATATTAAACAATAATATTCAAATTATTTAATTGAAATCGTGGTTCATCTTCTTTTACTTTCTTCTGAACTGCAAGCTTTAATATTGTTCTTCCCAGAAAAGAAAAAATTTGAGCTAATATGACAGAGTATAAAATCTATAAGATCATTTTACAATATTGAGAATTAAGTTTGAATTAGTTCCTGTTTAATAATTTAATAAATTATGTTATGTTTGATTTATTAATTAATTAAACAAAACGACACACATCAAAATCTGAAGAAGCAAGCATGTATATATATGACCCAAATAGTACAAATAAATTATACCTTAGTCCTTATATATGAATAAATTAATTTGTTTCTTTCTTTCGCTCTTGTTTATTTTATTCTTATAATATTGTTTATTTTCTCTCTTTTTCTTTTTCTTTTTTTTTTTCTTTTTATATGCCTGTGTTTTGTGGGGACGCGAAATTCAAATTATAGTTTTAAGATAAATTAACGTGGGACACAAGAAATGAACCAAACATGTTTGGGGCAGTCCGGTGAGGTAAGCGCTTACACCATCAGCCCTGTCAGCATAATTTTATTTATTTATTTTCAAATAATAACTATATCACTTATCCCTCCGTATATATTATTCAAAATATGTTGAGTCTAGGTGACAGATTCTCACGCTTTGGATACTGACATGGCGAATATCTATGCTTCGTGATGTTGTTTTTATATTATTTTTGCTTTCGAGTTAGGGTTGGTCATAAATAACTTTACACATATATTCATTAACTTAATAACCATGTTGTACATGTGTATTAATACTAGTATCTATAATTCCTGAATGTGCTGAGCCTAAGTGGCAGACTCGCATGCTTCGGAATCCTAGGTGTCAAAATTTCATGCTTTGTTATTTAGCTTGGATAGATTTTAATTTAATTTAAATCCCAAACTAATTAGGTTCGGATTAATAAATATGTTGATTTATTTATGATCATTTGAGATTAATCAATTGTATTTTAGTATCATTTCCTATTATAACTATTGAATTGTAAATGTATTTTAAAAGTTGACAACTTTTGTATTTTTTATCGATTTTACATATATAATGTATCAAATTAATTATCTTTTGATGAACTTCGATTTGACATTCATATTGTATATATAAAATAAAAATTATATTTATCGTTACAATAATAAAAAAATATTTATTAAACTCAATTAAAAAATAAAATTGTTTCTCAATTAATATATTCATGTTTAATGTAGTTATATGTTATAAATTAAAAGAATTATTATAATATAACACATGTAAATCGACAAGTATCATGTGTCATACTAAAATATATATAATATATATATATATTTATAAAAATATTTTAATTTTCAACTACTTTTTTCATTAAATTTTAAGAAAAAAAATATAACAGACACCCGTATAATACACGGGCATTGTACTAGTTAATAACTAAAACTTTAGATAGTCTCTCTACATTTTAAAAAGGAAAACAAAATTCAATTTAATAAAGTTACTTCCTGAACAGTATCCAAGGTGATTTCAATCTAGACTAGAAGGACGCATTTTTTTTTTTTTTTTTTTTTT